TATTGTCGTACAACTTACATGCCCATGTCATACTTGTATGGAAAAAGGTATCATGGACCGCTCACTGATCTTGTTTTATCTCTTAGACAAGAAATTCATGTCGAGCCGTACGATCAGATAGACTGGAATAAATCACGCCATTATTGTTGTAAGGTTGGTTTGGTTTCATCTTTTTTTCCTAAGTAGACAATAATCCTAATTCAATTTACAATCGTGCTATGCTGTCCAAATTTTTTTGACATAATGGCTGATCAATACTCACAATAGCGTGGGTTCCACGCGGGATCTACGCGCATGTGAGAGGATGTCGACCATTCTGTCCAAAATTTTCGGGCAAAGTAGTTTAATTCTTCAATTTAACATAAGATATGCGTGTTATAATGATTGGAACAAAAACCTTCAAATTTTGATTCTTGACATTCTAATCTTAATTAGGACAAAGACATTGTCCATATTCTTAAATTACTTTTTCCTTGAAAATCACAAATCAGCGATTCCTATAGCGAAAAGGTTGCAAATTTTGGACTATGTCTTTTTGGTCTTAGGGTCGTGTCAAGGCACTAGACTAAGTACTGAGGCTTGTGCTAATTTCAAAATGAAGGATGATCTCTATTATCCCCACACCTTCATACAAGATTTTCTCTGGGATACTTTGAACTACTTTAGTGAGCCAGTAATGAGGTGTTGGCCCTTGAACAAGATTAGACAAAAAGCCATTGAAAAGACACTCAAACACATGCGCTATTCGGCAGAGGAAACTAGATACATTACACTTGGATGTGTAGAAAAGGTTAGGAAGACAATTTATTATTATTATTATTTTCTTTTTTTTGGGAAGGGATCAAAATATTGCACCACAGAAATGGTATGACCTATGTTTCTTTATGCAGACTCTACAAATGTTGTGCTGGTGGGCACATGATCCACATGGTGATGAATTCAAGCATCACCTCTCAAGAGTTCCTGACTATTTATGGCTTGCTGAAGATGGAATGAAAATGCAGGTGCATTTTTTAATGAGATATAATCGATCAAGTACAAATAAGCAACATTAGGTGTGTGGTGGTAGGCTAAATTTTTTTCTTTATCCTGCAGTCTTTTGGTAGTCAAATATGGGACTGTACTATTGCTACTCAAGCTATTATTGCAACTGGCATGGTTGAGGAATATGTGATGGCCTTAAGAAGGCACACTTCTACATAAAAGAATCTCAGGTTCATTTCGAGGAACCTACAAATCAAATGAAAATTGGATAAAATTTACTAAGTATTTTAATTGGATGAAACTATATTTTTAATTTTAAACTATGCAGATCAAAGATAACCCAAGTGGTGACTTCAAACGCATGTATCGTCATTTTACTAAAGGTGGATGGACTTTCTCCGATCAAGATCAAGGATGGGTTGTATCAGATTGCACAGCTGAGGCACTTAAGGTTGTTTAACTTTCACCTCTTCAATTATCTCTAAACTCAAATAAATAGCAAAGTAAAGAAAAGGTTGCGATGAAGCCTGAATTATACATACTTTACAGTGTTTACTTCTGCTCTCACAATTTCCAAGTGAAATCGCTGGAGAAAAGGCCAATGTTGAGCGCTTGTATGATGCTGTGAATGTCCTTCTTTATCTACAGGTATGGCTTCCATAACTTGGAAGTTATTTAAACTCGACTGAAAATACATGATTTAGATATAAGATAGTGGATGATGACTAATTACCTTCTATCGTATCTGTTCAGAATCTTGGCAGTGGAGGGTTTGGAGTCTGGGAGCCCCCGGTTCCACAGATATATTTGCAGGAAAACATTTACATATACTATGTAATGTGTATCACTTGTTAGGATTCCTAATTCTTGCCCGAAGAAGTATTAGTTTCGATAGAGCAAATGATAATATAAGTTCACTTGTAGTGTACTGAAAGGACTTTTTTTTTCAGGCGTTGAATCCTTCAGAACTTTTTGCTGACATAGTCTTGGAGCAAGAGTAAGAAATTAACTCTTTTTTCTTTTTCCTGATGCTGAAAATGGCAAGTCCAGTAACATTTATGATCATTTTGGTTGTTTAGGCATGTTGAGTGCACAACTTCAATCATCCAAGCTCTATTATCCTTCAAACTTATGCATCCAGGCCACCGTGAGGGAGAAATAGAAACTTCCGTGGCAAAAGCTGTGCGATTCCTTGAAGAAAGACAATAGCCTGATGGTTCATGGTGACTTAAAATCAGGCTTTCAGTTGTAGGGGAAGTAGAAGTACATATTCAGATTGAATCTAATTTGAGATACATGTGACAGGTATGGCTATTGGGGAATTTGCTTCCTTTATGGCACATTCTTTGGGCTAGGAGGGTTAGCTGCTGCGGGGAAGACATATGACAATAGTGATGCAGTTCGAAAAGGTGTCAATTTTTTCTTGTCAACACAAAATGAAGAAGGTGGATGGGGAGAAAGCCGCAAGTCCTGCCCAACCATGGTATTTAGTTGGAAGATTTGCATATAAAATACATTCGGTTTTTAAATTTTTTTTTTCCTCTACAAATGAAATCCTATTTGATAATTGCGTGATAGAAATACACACCATTGGAAGGAAACAGAACAAACTTGGTACAAACATCATGGGCAATGCTAGGTCTAATGTACGGTGGACAGGTTGGTATCATTTTGAGCTTGCATGTTTTCTAATATTTCAGCCGTGTGACTTTCGTGCCAATAAAAAATAAGGAAAATAATGGAGTTATTATAGAGGATCATTTTGTCCGTAAAAGTAATTGTTTTAGGGATGTAAGCTCGATTATGTATAGGATGAGAGCACATTGCATCGTTTAAAAAGGCATTTGCATGCAGAGAAAGACGTTTCATTTGTTTTTGCATCATTTTTCTTAAAAACTAGGCGGAGAGGGATCCAACACCTTTACACAAGGCAGCAAAGTTGTTGATTAATGCACAGATGCATAACGGAGATTTTCCTCAACAGGTAGCCATAGCTCTTAAATAACTTCGAAATTCAAAATTACTAAATTCAGAACCAGTCTTGTAACCAAAATGAACTTATATTCACAGGAGATAACTGGAGTTTACATGAAGAACTGTATTCTGCATTTCCCACTATTCAGGAGCATTTTTCCACTGTGGGCACTCAGAGAATATCGTAAACGTGTCTGGCCATCCCTGAGTTTGATCATGTCATAATTTCACCAATCTACCTTTGTTTCTTAAAATATATTTTGAAAAATAAAAGGGAATATTTTTGTATGCTATAAATATACAAAAAATATACAAAAATATGGGCTTATGCTGGAGTTATTGTCCTTTCCAATATTAAATCAGTAACTTGTAGAAAGTCTTTCATGTTTTTGATATTATTTTAATTAACATCGCTCAATAAATAAATAAATAATGCATACCTTGAAAATTTATAAGATCTTCATACGCATTGTTCAAGTTTTCAACAAAACAAAGCATAAATATTTCAAATCAATAATGTTTTATTTATGGGCATAAAAGGCTATGTTGGTAGGTTGAGTTGGGCCTAATTTGAGGTTATATGTTGGATTTATTTTCCCTTTTAGTTTTGACAATGATTGAACATTTTGTTGAGCTCAATTTTAAAACAAGAAAATTATTAGAGTACGTCTAATTTGTCATTTTGAGGTCATTTTCAATTTTTGAAAACACTCAAACTGTGTTTGGTATGTTATTTTTCAAAAACGCTATTTTAAAAATAAGGAAAATTTTATAACGCAAAATTTAAAACAATTTTTTGAGTGTTTTACAAAAAACTCAAAATAATGAAAATGAGTTTAAAAAATTTTAAATTAAAATAATTAATAAAATCACACAAAACTTACACAAATACAAATATCCCTCTCCCAGTCTCCCTCTCTCAATCTCTCTCTTTCCATGCTCATCCAAAATGTCATAAAACTATTTCTAAAATTTTTAAACCAAACACGCTTTTTAATTTTTTTGTTTTGAGAAATAGTTTTTTAGAACGACAAACTAAACACTTTTTTCCTGCAACCTTAAAATAATCCCTTAAAATAGAAAATGGAAAATAAATTTAAAACTAAAAATAGAAAACAGAAAAACGCATTCTTATTTGTCAAAAAAGGAGAGCGCCTTAGGTGGTCAACATAGAACATTTTCTCCGAGTTAATACAGAATGAAAGTTAAAATGTTGGAATAAAAATAGCCGAGTCTTGCAACTCTCCTTTAAACACAATTTGTTCTCTCGACTCAACTTCTTATAAAGCATCAAAAACCAAAAATTAGGAGAATGCCAACATCCTCCAATGCTGTCTAAAAAAATTTTCTTTTCTTTTAAAGCATTGTGGACTTGCAAGATTTTATTTTGTCAATCGTTAAAATTTTAATAAGACTTCCTGCTCCTCAATTAAAAAAAAAAATTAAATTACTTAAACGGACATTTTAAACAAAAAATCACTTTAGTAATTTTTACTTGTTTTTATGCTTAGCCAAACATCCTTGTAATGCCTCAGATTAAAATAAAGCTGGAAATTTTGATTCAGAAATTCGAAATTAATAATTATCAATTAATTATAATTTTTTAATCCTCTGAAAGCTATGAATTTGGGTCCAAGTGACGTTTACATACCAAGATGACCGTACTTTGTATTTGTATAAAAAAAAATGTGGCTTTACTAAATAATATCCCTGAAATTAAGCTAATAAACATTGTCTCTTGATACAGAAAGTTGGGTCCCCCAAATTAGCCGGCAACTAATTCTCTCTTTCCCTCGGAGAAATAGTTTTTACCTTAGTCAAATTGGACTCAACTACTTGATTGAATCAAAATATTAAATGAGATCAGACAAAATCGAAAAAATTAGAGATCATTAAATCAAGTTATGGGCTAACCAGTTCAGCCCTAAGATTGATAAGTTTTCAGTCAAAACCATTTAGTTTTGCTCCAAAATTTTGTGTCAAAATAGTGTCCTAAACGCACTAGTAATGTATGATTTTCATGGATAAAAAGCGCCTATTGTGCAGCCCCTTAGACGGCTAATGGCACTTCTTGAGGACAAACAAGAACTGGTACCTGAGGACGGTATGTTTCTTAATTACTACCAATAGAAATACAATATTAGAATTCTCTGAAGAAAACGCTAAAGAAAAAACATTAAAAAAACTGAGGACGTAAACATATTTGGTAGTTGTATTGGACAGGATTATACAAGAGAAGCACGTGACAAATTTCGCCAATTGTCCTATTGTCAGTTCGCCGTACCAAACATGCTGCGAGCGTTGCTGATGCTTACACTGCCACGTATACAATTAGAAAAGCCATTTATTTCAAAATTCAGCATAGGAGCAAAAGTTAACCTGAGCATAATTTTGTGATTTTAGTACTTCTTGATTCTTCTTATTATTGATAAGTGTCCACTTCAAAAGCTTGGTATTTATATCTTTTGGACAGAGAAGTTCAAAAGTTGTGCAGCATGATAAAACATATTTTATCTGCTTATTGTGTTTTAATGTTTAAAATGTGAGAAGTTGCAACTCGTATTCTGGTTTAGGGAAGGAAAGGGCTTCAATTTCTTGATGTAGTTCTTTTTTTTTTTTTTTTTGCCACATTCTGACAGAAGAATGAACTTATAAGTATATGCACTTTCATTAGTAAATTTTTTGTCTTGTCCTCACTAGGCCAAACTTTTTTTTTTTTTGAAAGATGATACTGACTTTCAAAATTTTCGTCTTCCAAATTTTGTCGTGTTAACTTGGCTTGAAGTTTTCACGTTACGCGTAATTTGCTAATAAGGATAAATGATTGCATTTATCTGGTCACATAGTACTTCATGTATAATTCTGGTCGCTTATAGATAGCGTTTAGGTGTTATCTATAATTGATGCACTAATATGTGGTGATTGACATGCAGAGTTGCCCAAAGTTGGACCAATTACACATGGAGATATTGAGATGGCTTTAAAGAACACTAGACCATCTGCTCATCTCCTTGCGCATCGCTATTTGAAGTTTAATGCCGACTATGGCAGTCAAATACTCCAGTGAAGGCACACGGTTCTATTATACTATGTTGTTGGAACTTGTTAACATATTTATTGTTCTGTATTTTCATATAGAGTTTAGAGACCTGTAAAACTCAAATGGTGAAGAATCTAGCAAAAGAAAACAAATTAAAAACACTGGTGTGAGATCAAAATAAGAATTTTTACTCATCAATTCTCTTCAATATTTTTCTAATATCTGCGATAATATGATATTCTTGCCATGATCATCTTCATATTATTTTGGTTGTGTAATTAGTATAGGATATTTCTTGAAAATTAGAGCATGTACCAGTTTTATTTTAGAAATGCCACCAATGTTGAAGTTAAAATTCATCAATAGTCCCTATGTGTGTTGAGCGTGCCACTTCTGTTATCTAAGCTCTTGTATTACTTAAACTTATTAACTTGTCACGTGTAGAAAGATTAATTTTAATTAAGATGAATTGAATGTCTAAAAAAATTTATAACTTAAAATTCTATAAATAATTAGTGACAAATAACTTAACAATTTTAATTTATCTCAAAGAAAAAATTTTATACTTTAAAAAACTTTTTATAATTTATAAGCAATAACTGACCGATTCAACTAGTAACACGAGAATTAGTACCTCGATCAGATTGATGTGCGGGTCTGATATAATATAATAACTATGTTATGTCTCTATGAATTGGGTCAAGACTGCATCAATATTCTTTATTTTATTTTATTTTATTTTATTTATGAAGTTTTGGCTATTGTTAGTGATAATTGTTGTGAGAATTCATAAAAATGCATATCATAGCCGATGTGTATATGACAATTGAAAGCTATGAATACAAAATTGACTTAAATAGTAAGAACTAACCAATGAAAATTCATGCATAAGAAAATTTTTGAATTCAAAAATGGGTGAATTTGAAGCCTCAAACATGATAATCTCTTAAAGGATTGAAGAACTTTCTGTACTCATTAAAATTGTTAAGTAGATTGTCGCTCTCAATTTGATTATAATTTCATTTAGTTTGTTTTCAGTCGTATTTCAATAATAGATACTTGTTAAAGCTCCAAACATTATATACTGAAAAACATGACAAAAAGGATTCGAGACGCAATGATTACTTGTGGTAAAACGAAAAATTACGATTTATTAACTCGTAGAAAATTATTTGTGCCATACTTCATACTGTTTTAAGAATTAATTACCATATTAATCTTCTTCTCTACTATTAGCATCATTTGTAGTGAGTGATCTACCACTTTATATTGCTTGACAATTTATTCATATATTTAACTCTCCTTTTGTTTAACTTCATATCTTTGTTGGTGGACGTCATCTACTAACCATCATATTTAATCTAATACTCCTGGTTCATTATTGAGAAGTGTAATTCAAATATAGTAATACTATCTAAAATTATCTTTCATATATTGAAATAAAGAGAGAAATAATTGATATTTTATTCTCAAAATAATTAAATATTGAAGTCTGCTCTTGTCTTCTTAATACAAGGGATTTAATATTTGTTATATGTTAAAAAAGATGCATATTTCACTACTATATAAAAACGGCAATGTTATCACTACTGTAGAAAGAACAGTAGATTCTTCCATTTTCACACACTGTAGCAATTTTTTTTCCATCTCTCAAGCGAAAACGACGCCGCCTGACAAAAAAAAAAAAAAAAAAAAAACTTGCAGGCTACAGTGATGCACCTACTTGTCCTCAATTTAGGTAGATCTTTCTTTATTCTTCTTCATTTTCATACGCGACTGCCTGTTCTCTCCATTTTACAACGCAAATTAGCCCTAACTCCTTCTTCTCTCTGAGTTTCACTCTGGAGTGAACTATAATTATTTGTTGTATATTTTGTATGGATTGATTAAGGTCTGGTTGTTCTGAATTTTTGTTCTTATTATTGTTTTTATTGAAATTTGTAGACGTTCTGCAACTCAATTTCATTTAACGGAGCTTGATAGTTTTTTTTCCTTGCGTTTTGCGTGAATTGGTTTCATTTCGAATTTTTGCTGTTACTGTGTTTTTTTTCTTTTTTTTTTTTTGATATACAATGGATCCGTATCAAAATATAAAAAAATAAAATGAAATATACGCATATGATGGTTTCTATATAAGTGAATATAAAACAAATGTTTTGGTGGAACAATGTATTTATTTGCGTAATATGTGTGCAAATTTCTTATAAACATTATATTTCAATTAAAGAGTTCCAATGAAGGAATGATATTGTATTGTTTAATTTTAGATATTTGGAAATCATTGAAATATGGATGGAATAGGTTGGTAAATAAGAGAATAAATAGAGTTGGGTGTAGAAATAGCAGAATAGATTAACACGGGTTGTAGAAATGGACAATATGTTACCGAAAAAGCCTGATCTATATGTTATCGAAAAAGCCTGATCTTATTCTTCTCAAAAACAAAAGTGAGGAGAAAAAAATTATTGAACTATCGACGTGAGTGACTATTTAATTTAACACGTTTTACACATTATTTGATTGCACTCAAAAAGTTACGATTGAAAATGTGATTAATATGTCTATCATCTATCTACATTTCTGTTCATTTGAAGGATTTATATATTCTCTGTATATATAAAAAAAAATTGATCTATATTTTATGTATTTATTTTAGGAATCACGTATATTAAAAAAACTAAGTTGATAAAATGAAATGAAATTATTGCATTGAGAGCCAATGAAAGAAAAAGAAAGAAAAAAAATGAAATTTGTGCCTCCATAATTACGGAGGCATTTGGCTTAAAAATGTTGAGCCTTCGTAATTATGGAGGCTCATGCCGTTGAGCCTTCATAATTACGGGCCTCCATAATAGCCTCCGTTAATGGAGGTTAGGCAGCCTATAATGGAGGTTAGGCAAGCATGAGCCTCCGTAATTGTAATTACGGAGGTTCAAAGAAAGAAAGAAAGAGAGAGGAACTCACCCCTGGGCCACGAGATCTTGGGATACCTACTGTTTTAAACTTTTAGGATTTTCAGGTTCTAACTTCTGCTTTACCTTGAATTATTTCTTTTCTATACAATAATACATTCATATCTACTATAATTTGTTGAAGGATGTATTGCTATGGTGCTAACTTTTTTTGTTTGAAATGCTTTTACTGTCCAGTGAAGTATTTCTTTGACTAACTATGGCTTGGAATCTCATTATTAATAGATTTTATTGATTCTGCAACTTTTAGTAGAAAAATGACATTTTCTGGAAGAAAGACGAGTGATCGACTCGTATAATTGGTTAGTTCCTTGCCAATAATTCCATATTCCCATATATTTTCAAACATATTCAATACATACGCTAATTAAACCATAATTTATGCACAGCTCGTGCATCGCACGTGATATAGACTAGTAATAAATAAAATGCAAAAAGCTAAAAAGTAGTAACTACAACTTCCAAAGGGCGTTGCTTTGAAGCTTCGTAGTTGCTTGGAATAATATATTGGATTATAACTTGTCGAAGATTTAGATAAAAGATTCTAGTTTCCAGTGCCACCAGAAATGCACGGATTAGATTTTTCTTGATAAAATTTAAAAAAAATGTTAAACCCTAACCTTAAGGGTCCCCCACCACCTCTACCCTGTAGCATCGTGAGGGAGGTAAATCGCAGGTTATGCCTCCAAGGGTACAGGGTGGAAGGCTGCTTGCACTTACCCAAGAGCCAAATCCATATTTTAGGATTCGAACCCTTGACGCAACAGCCTCAAGCAAAGCTGGATTTCTCCACCCTCCCCTTTTACCACTTGGAGATGTGCCCTGGGGGCTTTTTCTTGATAAATTTATGATTATTGAACACTGCAATTTAGTGAATTTGCACGTCTTCAACCACTACATCCCAATATATCCATTACAATTAGGGTAAAACTTGAAAGCTAATACGAAACGTTTCGATACATGTTAAAATCTAGATATTGACAACCAATTAAAGAGCTATTGAAATGTCGATTGTCCTAAAAATATTAGTAGTTCAACCTTTTGATACGTATTATTTACCCTTTTCAAATAAATGTACGTACTGACCGATTTTTTAAGCATTATAATAAACACCAATTTATTTCTCATTTTTTTTAATCTTTTCATGATAAATATTTGAAGGAACCGCTCAATCCTTAAAAAATCTAAATATTTACAATCAATTAAAGAACTACCAAAATTGGCCAATTTTCTCTCAAATTTAATTTTTCTTTATATAATTTATTTATTTTATTTTTATGAGCAGTTCAATCTTAATTCGACCTTTAGATATTGATTATTTACCTTACTCAATTTGGACATCATCATATCCCCCACTAAAACGAAATCAATGTGCTAAGACTATGAAAACTCACTCTTGCCATTAGATGGAAAACGTGTTAAATCATTTTAATTAAAAATGTCAATAAGTAAGTCGAAAAATGTGGTAAACAAATAGTCACTATTTTTATTAGTGATAGCATTGAAGATGGAAGACGTGTTAAATCAATTTATCTAAATATGTAGATAATTATGAAGACGTGATGAACCAAGCGAGGGCACAGCAAATTTCTTACCTACCTTTCTCAAAAAGATTGACTAAGATATTAGAGAGTGGACAAATATATCATGTATGCGTGTGTATATAAGCTTAAGTATTTTTCCTGAATAGATTATAGATAGTGTCTGTGAATTACCACACAGGTTAACTCAGAAGCTTGATTAGTGAAGACAAAAATAAAAATGTGGAAGCTCAAGATTGCTCAAGGCAATGGGCCGTACTTGTACAGCACCAATACACCAGAACACAAGAAAGAGATCATTCGCTATATCTACAATCACCAAGTGGGTACCAAATAAAATTCGATTAGTTTAGTCATCACTATGTGCAAATGGATAACCTAACATGAAGTAATATGAATCATAGAATGATGATGGTGGATGGGGATTCTACATTGAAGGCCGGAGCACCATGATAGGCTCTGCACTAAACTATGTCGCATTACGTCTATTGGGAGAAGGACTTGACGATGGTAATGAGGAAGTTACCAGAGGCCGCAAGTGGATCCTTGATCATGGCGGCGCAACTCAAGTTCCCTCTTGGGGAAAGATCTATCTTTCAGTAAGAATTCTCAATTTTACTAATAACTAACTTTTGAGTCTGGTAATGAGCAAAATGTAATTTGGAATAGGTCCTTGGTGTGTATGATTGGGACGGCTGCAACCCACTACCTCCAGAATTCTGGCTTTTCCCTTCATTTTTGCCTTTTCATCCGGGTAAAATTTTGTTCCCTTCATTAAAGAGAATTATTCAGTAGTCAATTCGGAAGCTTCCATTGGATTGCATGTAACAACTTCTTTAAAATGCAGCAAAAATGTGGTCCTATTGTCGTACAACTTACATGCCCATGTCATACTTGTACGGAAAAAGGTATCATGGACCACTCACTGATCTTGTTTTATCTCTTAGACAAGAAATTCATGTCGAACCATACGATCAGATAGACTGGAATAAATCACGCCATTATTATTGTAAGGTTGGTCTGGTTTCATCTTTTGTTCCTAAGTAGACAACAATCCCAATTTAATTTACAATCGTACTATACTGTCCAAATTTTTGTGACATAATGGCTAACCAATACTCACAATAGCATATAAGAGGATGTCGACCATTCTGTCCAAAATTTTCGGGCAAAGTAGTTTAATTCTTCAATTTAACGTAAGATATGCGCATTATAATGATTGGAACAAAACCTTCAAAATTTGATTCCTGACATCCTAATCTTAACTAGGACAAAGACATTGTCCATATTCTTAAATTACTTTTTTCTTGAAAATCACAAATCAGTGATTCCTATAGCGAAAAGGTTGCAAAATTTGGACAGTGTCTTTTTGGTCTTAGGGTCGTGTTAAGGCACTAGACTAAGTACTGAGGCTTATGCTAATTTCAAAATGAAGGATGATCTCTATTATCCCCACACCTTCATACAAGATTTTCTCTGGGATACTTTGAACTACTTTAGTGAGCCAGTAATGAGGTGTTGGCCCTTGAACAAGATTAGACAAAAAGCCATTGAAAAGACACTCAAACACATGAGCTATTCGGCAGAGGAAACTAGATACATTACAATTGGAAATGCAGAAAAGGTTAGTAAGAAAATTTATTATTATTATTATTATTTTTTTTTTTTGGGAAGGGATCAAAATATTGCACCACAGAAATGGTATGACCTATATTTCTTTATGCAGACTCTTCAAATGGTGTGCTGGTGGGCACATGATCCACATGGTGATGAATTCAAGCATCACCTCTCAAGAGTTCCTGACTATTTATGGCTTGCTGAAGATGGAATGAAAATGCAGGTGCATTTTTTAATGAAATATAATTGATCAAGTACAAATAAGCAACATTAGGTGTGTGGTGGTAGGCTAAATTTTTTTCTTTATCCTGCAGTCTTTTGGTAGTCAAATATGGGACTGTACTTTTGCCACTCAAGCTATTATTGCAACTGGCATGGTTGAGGAATATGGTGATGGCCTTAAGAAGGCACACCTCTACATAAAAGAATCTCAGGTTCATTTCGAGGAACCTACAAATCAAATGAAAATTGGATAAAATTTACTAAGTATTTTAATTGAATGAAACTATATTTTTAATTTTAAACTATGCAGATCAAAGATAACCCAAGTGGCGACTTCAAACGCATGTATCGTCATTTTACTAAAGGTGGATGGACTTTCTCCGATCAAGATCAAGGATGGGTTGTATCAGATTGCACAGCTGAGGCACTTAAGGTTGTTTAACTTTCACCTCTTCAATTATCTCTAAACTCAAATAAATAGCAAAGTAAAGAAAAGGTTGCGATGAAGCCTGAATTATACATACTTTACAGTGTTTACTCCTGCTCTCACAATTTCCAAGTGAAATCGCTGGAGAAAAGGCCAATGTTGAGCGCTTGTATGATGCTGTAAATGTCCTTCTTTATCTACAGGTATGGCTTCCATATCTAGGAAGTTATTTAAGCTCGACTGAAAATACACGATTTAGATATAAGATAGTGGATGACGACTAATTGCCTTCTATCGTATCTGTTCAGAATCCTGGCAGTGGAGGGTTTGGAGTCTGGGAGCCCCCGGTTCCACAGATATATTTACAGGCAAACATTTACATATACTATGTGATGTGTATCATATGTTAGGATTCCTCATTCTTGCCCAAAGAAGTATTAGTTTCGATAGAGCAAATGATAATATAAGTTCACTTGTAGTGTACTGAAAGGACTTTTTTTTTCAGGCGTTGAATCCTTCAGAACTTTTTGCTGACATAGTCTTGGAGCAAGAGTAAGAAATTAACTCTTTTTTCTTTTTCCTGATGCTGAAAATGGCAAGTCCAGTAACATTTATGATCATTTTGGTTGTTCAGGCATGTTGAGTGCACAACTTCAATCATCCAAGCTCTATTATCCTTCAAACTTATGCATCCAGGCCACCGTGAGGGAGAAATAGAAACTTCCGTGGCAAAAGCTGTGCGATTCCTTGAAGAAAGACAATGGCCTGATGGTTCATGGTGACTTAAAATCAGGCTTTCAGTTTTAGGGAAAGTAGAAGTACATATTCAGATTGAATCTAATTTGAGATACATGTGACAGGTATGGCTATTGGGGAATTTGCTTCCTCTATGGCACATTCTTTGGGCTAGGAGGGTTAGCTGCTGCGGGGAAGACACATGACAACAGTGATGCAGTTCGAAAAGGTGTCAATTTTTTCTTGTCAACACAAAATGAAGAAGGTGGATGGGGAGAAAGCCGCGAGTCCTGCCCAACCATGGTATTTAGTTGGAAGATTTGCATATAAAATACATTCGATTTTTAAATTTTTTTTCCCCTCTGCAAATGAAATCCTATTTGATAATTGCGTGATAGAAATACACACCATTGGAAGGAAACAGAACAAACTTGGTACAAACATCATGGGCAATGCTAGGTCTAATGTACGGTGGACAGGTTGGTATCATTTTGAGCTTGCATGTTTTCTAATATTTCAGCCGTGTGACTTTCGTGCCAATAAAAAATAAGGAAAATAATGGAGTTATTATAGAGGATCATTTTGTCCCTAAAAGTAATTGTTTTAGGGATGTAAGCTCGATTATGTATAGGATGAGAGCACATTGCATCGTTTAAAAGGCATTTGCATGCAGAGAAAGACGTTTCATTTGTTTTTGCATCGTTTTTCTTAAAAACTAGGCGGAGAGGGATCCAACACCTTTACACAAGGCAGCAAAATTGTTGATTAATGCACAGATGCATAACGGAGATTTTCCTCAACAGGTAGCCATAGCTCTTAAATGACTTCGAAATTCTGAATTACTAAATTCAAAACTAGTCTTGTAACCAAAATGAACTAACCAAAATGAACTTATATTCACAGGAGATAACTGGAGTTTCCTTGAAGAACTGTACTCTGCATTACGCACTATACAGGAGCATTTTTCCATTGTGGGCCCTCGGAGAATATCGTAAACGTGTCTGGCCATCCCTGAGTCTGAGCATGTCATAATTTCACCAATCTACCTTTGTTTCTTAAAATATATTTTGAAAAATAAAAGAGAATATTGTTGTATGCTACAAATATACAAATATATGGGCTTATGCCTTATGTTGGAGTTATTGTCCTTTCCAATATTAAATCAGTAACTTGTAGAAAGCAACGTTCTAAAAGTCTTTCATGTTTTTAATATTATTTTAAATAACATAGCTCAATAAATAAATAAATAATGTATACCTTGAAAATTTATAAGATCTTCATACGCATTGTTCAAGTTTTCAACAAAATATATCTCAAAAGCATAAATATTTCAAATCAATAATGTTTTATTTATGGGCATAAAAGACTGTGTTGGTAGGTTGAGTTGGGCGTAATTTGAGGTTATATGTTGGATTTATTTTCCCTTTTAGTTTTGACAATGATTGAACATTTTGTTGAGCTGAATTTTAAAACAAGAAAATTATTAGAGTACGTCTAATTTGTCATTTTGAGACCATTTTCAATTTTTGAAAACACTCAAACTGTGTTTGGTATATTATTTTCAAAAATGCGATTTTAAAAATAAGGAAAATTTTATAACAAAAAATTCAAAACGATTATTTGAGTGTTTTCAATGTAAACACTCAAATAACTCAAAATAATGAAAATGAGTTTAAAAATTTTTAAATTAAAATAATTAATAAAATCACACAAAACTTACACAAATACAAATATCTCTCTCCCTCTCTCTATCTCTCTCTTTCCATACTCATCCAAAATGTCATAAAACTATTTCTAAAATTTTTAAACCAAACACGCTTTTTAATTTTTTTGTTTTGAGAAATAATTTTTTAGAATGACAAACCAAACACTTTTTCTTGTTGGAAATAATATTAAGTTTCAACTTTCAAAATTATTATATTTTTGATTTTCAGTTTTGATTTAATTAAAATCTTAATTTATATTATAACATAAAATTAAATATTTAAATGGAGGTTATGGATTGATTAATTCTCATTAGTGTGGGGGTTTAAATTATACACTATAAAAAGGGAGGACACAACATGAAAATCACAATCTTGAGATACAACAAAAAAACCTACTTGAAATACTATTCTTTCTACAATTTTATATTATACTTTTGGTATCTCATAAAAGGCTCATTCAATTATCTCCATATGGTCGTGCTCATAGAAGGAGAGCCACATAGATTTTATCTTGGAGCCGTGTAGCGTCGAAAGAACCCGTACGAAGGGGAGGCAATACGACTTTAGGACAGCGTCGTTGACGTGACTCCCAAAACTTGATTTTCTAACTTTCTTCTTCTTTTATATTATTGTTGAATTTATGTTTATGTCATTTAATTGATTATGCTAATTTCTAAATAAATCTATACACAAATCTCCCAATTTTCCCAATAATCTAAAGTCGTGTTGAAGTATGTGTAGATAAATCATATGTGTAATCTTAGTGTACCTTTTGTTACCTTTGATGCCAAATTAATTTCCTTATTGTTGCTTAGAAATTTTGGACGTGCATTCGTGCCTAATACACATCTATAGGTAGTGTACCAAGACCTGCATTCTATTGGTAGATACCAACTGCTAGTATAATACACATCTAACACAAGTGTCATAAGCAACCTGTTTGTATCTGAAGGAAAGTTGGATCCCCTAACTTGTTGTTTGTCAAGAATCTCACCCATAAGTATTCACCAATAATCCATTTAGCTCTCCTCGTGAGTAATAGATAATTCTCTTGAATTGAAGGAGGTTGTTTTCGATGAATGGGTAGAAATTACCACTTCAAAGCAATTAGTATGAACACAACTCTATGTATGATATGAAATCCATAATCACTTCAAAACGAGCAAAATGGGCACATTGATTTCTTACCTCAAGTTGAGTGATACTATTGACATTTCCTTTTGGTGCAAGTTCAGGTTAAAATGTCCTATTATTAATGTAAGAATAAACCATTAAATAAAGGAGGCCTATTCAATGTTTAGCCATGATTGATTGATATTAAGAGCAATTGTATCCAGGTAATTCCTAGGGGTCATAAAGAATGTGCTTAATTGATATTTTAGGAAAAGTAATTGTAACTCCTGTGAATAATAGTGGTCTTATTATTATTTAATTTAGATATGTAACTCTTATATTGATATTGAGTAACATATAGTACTTCAATGTAGTATAATCAATTTTGATTTAAGTTTATGCTTATATATACGTGTGCTATATGATTGATGCTTGAAGAAAATATTTATAGATACTAATAGTGCAAAGGCCTAGTGTTTACCTCTCTTAGAACAAGTATATAGAGGAATCATTGCGAATATCTTAATGGTTAAAATGTCAAGAATATTTATTATAATTTATTAATTGTACTATTTCAAAAATGAGAATTCAGTTTGGTGGCATGGCTAGCTAATTTAGACTTATGTGGTGTCAAAATTGGTTTTAAATTATTTCGAATGAAAATGTGGCGAAGGATGCAGAGAATTTTAAGGGAGAAAATTCATAATGCGATGTTAAATAATTACAATGCATTTTCTTCTATTTTGTTTAGATATATTGGTCATTATACGTGTTGCAAGAAAAAAAATTAGGTACATTAATTCATGATAGAGCTGCATCCTAAATGTATTATTTGACTTTCGAAGAGAAGTTGGGTGAATATCGAAATGTCACACTTTTATTTAAATCTATCTAAATTATTCCTATTTATTGTGTGTGTAAAACCGACTTTTGAAAAGTGTTAGAAATGAAATTGGAGACATGCAAGTGAAATACAAGAGTTGAACGTACGCATACGTTCGAACATGCTATGAGAAGTCAATTTCTAAATTTCATTTGTTTATCTTATTATAATTATATATGTGATATTGACATTTTTTTTTAAAAAAATTTAGATGACTTTGCAGATATGCAAATGGGCAGGTGAAGAAAAAAAACTTTACAAATTAATGGTACCAATTTATTGTCCAAGAGGGACATGAATACATATATAGTCCAAGATGGATATACATAAATTATCGAGGGGAATGAATTTAAGCCTATAAGGGAGTCACCTCTGGGAGTAACCCAACATTTGTGATTGGAGATCCCATGAAAAAGGTTCAATGTGGTAGAAACAACTCGTACTGCGTGACTTATAATAGCACTACTTATATTGTGCTTATCCCTATGGTAATAGTGCTAATAATAATGTGATTTTAGGAAGGGTTTAACTTTGAATGAGTACTGAGGCGAGAATTCTCGTAAGGTCTGAGTCACACACACCCCTGGAGGACTCACCTATGTAAGAGTTGTCATGAGGTCGTGACTATGGGATTGGGCTATTCCCTAGAGACTCTTACTAGAATCAAGATTAGAGCGCATGGCCATTAAAAGCACTACTCGCTATGAACTAGAGCATAAATCGATACTGTGTGTGGAACAATTGAAATTTGATCAAAGGGACTTAATTCAAGGCTTAGTCCATTATGGTTCCCTTAAATAGAAATTGTTATCACTAAGTGAGGTTCAAGTCCAAAAGACACCTACACCTATTGCACAGTATTATGTAGCCACTATTATATATTTTTTAATTATTTTGAAAGCTTAAAACTTGTGGGGACTGTTGGAAATTATATTAAGTTTCAACTTTTAAAATTATTATATTTTTAATTTTTAGTTTTGATTTAATTAAAATCTTAATTTATACTATAACATAAAATTAAATATTTAAATGGAGGTTATGGATTGATTAATTCTCATTAGTGTGGGGGGTTTAAATTATACACTATAAAAAGGGAGGACACAACATTAAAATCACAATCTTGAGATACAAAAAAAAAAATCACTTGAAACACTATTCTTTCTACAATTTTATATTATACTTTTGGCATCTCGTGAAAGGCTCGTTCAATTATCTCCCTATGATCGTGCCCATAGAAGGAGAGCCACATGTATTTTATCTTGGAGCCGTGTAGTGCCGAAAGAACACGCGTGAAGGGGAGACAACACGATTTTAGGACAGCGTCGTCGACGTGACTCCCAATGCTTGATTTTCTAACCTTCTTCTTGTTTTATATTATTGTTGAATTTATGTTTATATCATTTAATTGATTATGCTAATTTCTAAATAAATTTGCACACAAATCTCCCAAATTTCCCAACATTTTCTGCAACCTTAAAATAATCCCTTAAAATAGAAAATGGAAAATGAATTTAAAACTAAAAATAGAAAACAAAAGAACGTATTCTTATTTGTCAAAAAAGGAGAGTGCCTTAGGTGGTCAACATAGAACATTTTCCCCGAGTTAATACAGAATGAAAGTTAAAAATGTTGGAATAAAAATAGCCGAGTCTTGCAACTCTCCTTTAAACACAATTTGTTCTCTCAACTCAACTTCCTATAAAGCATCAAAAACCAAAAATTAGGAGAATGCCAACGTCCTCCAATGCTGTTTAAAATAGGAATTTTTTTTTTCCTTTTTCTTTTCTTTTAAAGCATTGTGGACTTGCAAGATTTTATTTTCTCAATCGTTAAAATTTTAATAAGCCTTCCTACTCCTCAATTAAAAAAAAAAATTAAATTACTTAAACGGACATTTTAAACAAAAAGTCACTTAAGTAATTTTTACTTGTTTTTATGCTTAGCCAAACATCCTTGTAATGCCTCAGATTAAATTANTTGGTCATTATACGTGTTGCAAGAAAAAAAATTAGGTACATTAATTCATGATAGAGCTGCATCCTAAATGTATTATTTGACTTGCCTCAAGGTAAGCTCTACAAGGTAACATCATCTTAGTTAGTCAATCAGATATCCTTGAAATGTTGGGACATTAAATTATTTAATAGAGTTTCTTTTCTTTGATTAATGTTCGAAGAGAAGTTGGGTGAATATCGAAATGTCACACTTTTATTTAAATCTATCTAAATTATTCCTATTTATTGTGTGTGTAAAACTGACTTTTGAAAAGTGTTAGAAATGAAATTGGAGACATGCAAGTGAAATACAAGAGTTGAACGTACGCATACGTTCGAACATGCTATGAGAAGTCAATTTCTAAATTTCATTTGTTTATCTTATTATAATTATATATGTGATATTGACATTTTTAAAAAAAAAAATTTAGATGACTTTGCAGATATGCAAATGGGCAGGTGAAGAAAAAAAACTTTACAAATTAATGGTACCAATTTATTGTCCAAGAGGGACATGAATACATATATAGTCCAAGATGGATATACATAAATTATCGAGGGGAATGAATTTAAGCCTATAAGGGAGTCACCTCTGGGAGTAACCCAACATTTGTGATTGGAGATCCCATGAAAAAGGTTCAATGTGGTAGAAACAACTCGTACTGCGTGACTTATAATAGCACTACTTATATTGTGCTTATCCCTATGGTAATAGTGCTAATAATAATGTGATTTTAGGAAGGGTTTAACTTTGAATGAGTACTGAGGCGAGAATTCTCGTAAGGTCTGAGTCACACACACCCCTGGAGGACTCACCTATGTAAGAGTTGTCATGAGGCCGTGACTATGGGATTGGACTATTCTCTAGAGACTCTTACTAGAATCAAGATTAGAGCGCATGGCCATTAAAAGCACTACTCGCTATGAACTAGAGCATAAATCGATACTGTGTGTGGAACAATTGAAATTTGATCAAAGGGACTTAATTCAAGGCTTAGTCCATTATGGTTCCCTTAAATGGAAATTGTTATCACTAAGTGAGGTTCAAGTCCAAAAGACATCTACACCTATTGCACAGTATTATGTAGCCACTATTATATATTTTTTTAATTATTTTGAAAGCTTAAAACTTGTGGGGACTGTTGGAAATTATATTAAGTTTCAACTTTCAAAATTATTATATTTTTAATTTTTAGTTTTGATTTAATTAAAATCTTAATTTATATTATAACATAAAATTAAATATTTAAATGGAGGTTATGGATTGATTAATTCTCATTAGTGTGGGGGGTTTAAATTATACACTATAAAAAGGGAGGACACAACATTAAAATCACAATCTTGAGATACAAAAAAAAAAATCACTTGAAACACTATTCTTTCTACAATTTTATATTATACTTTTGGCATCTCGTGAAAGGCTCGTTCAATTATCTCCCTATGATCGTGCCCATAGAAGGAGAGCCACATGTATTTTATCTTGGAGCCGTGTAGTGCCGAAAGAACACGCGTGAAGGGGAGACAACACGATTTTAGGACAGCGTCGTCGACGTGACTCCCAATGCTTGATTTTCTAACCTTCTTCTTGTTTTATATTATTGTTGAATTTATGTTTATATCATTTAATTGATTATGCTAATTTCTAAATAAATCTGCACACAAATCTCCCAATTTTCCCAACATTTTCTGCAATCTTAAAATAATCCCTTAAAATAGAAAATGGAAAATGAATTTAAAACTAAAAATAGAAAACAAAAGAACGCATTCTTATTTGTCAAAAAAGGAGAGTGCCTTAGGTGGTCAACATAGAACATTTTCCCCGAGTTAATACAGAATGAAAGTTAAAAATGTTGGAATAAAAATAGCCGAGTCTTGCAACTCTCCTTTAAACACAATTTGTTCTCTCAACTCAACTTCCTATAAAGCATCAAAAACCAAAAATTAGGAGAATGCCAACGTCCTCCAATGCTGTCTAAAATAGGAATTTTTTTTTTCCTTTTTCTTTTCTTTTAAAGCATTGTGGACTTGCAAGATTTTATTTTCTCAATCGTTAAAATTTTAATAAGCCTTCCTACTCCTCAATTAAAAAAAAAAAATTAAATTACTTAAACGGAA